CTACATATGCTCCACAAACTGGGTGCTCTGAGCAGTCCAAGGACGAATTCTGGGCTCTGCTGGACGAGAAGACGGCTGAAGTGCCACCAAAAGACGGTATCATTGTAGCCGGCGATCTAAACGGACACGTGGGCGCTGCAAAAGACGGCTATGCTTGTCATGGCGGATTCGGTTACGGTTCCGGAAGATGGTGAGCGAGTCCTTGAGTATGCAGAGTCGCATAACCTCGTCATTCTGAACACAAGGTTTCGTAAACGTGACTCTCATCTTATCACGTTCTACAGCGGGAGTACCAAGACACAAATAGACTTTGTACTCATCAGGCATGGCGACCAAGGACTCGTGACAGACGCTAAGGTAGTACCGTATGAAACGGTTGCCACGCAGCACCGCCCACTGATCTGCACGCTCAGACTTGTAGCTCCCAGACGAGGCAGGCAGAACGATGCGGTCCTGAAAGAATAAAGTGGTGGCGACTGAAAGAGCGGGAGGCAGCTGTGATTTCTCGTATTCGACTACCTGAAGTCACAACTGTTCAGGAGACCTGGAACGAAGCCGTTAATTCTATAATCCAGGCCGCCCGCTCCGAACTCGGCACAACGAAGCCTGGACGGCGGAGGATTGACAAAGAGGCATGGCTCTGGACGGACGACGTCAAAGCGAAGGTTCGAGAAAAGAAGAGGCTCTATCACGCGTTTCTCGAGCACAAGTCGGCTGACAACTGGCGGCAGTATCGGGAAGCGAGGAAGGCGGCAAAGACGGCCGTGGCTGCTGTGAAGGCCGCTCACTTCGATGATATCAGCAAGAAGCTGGAGACGCGCGACGGTGAGCGGTACCTGTACGGACTTGCCAAATCTCGTCATCGCCAAACCGAAGACATTGAGAAGTTTTTTGGCATAAGTGATGAGAATGGCCACCTTCTGATGGACCGAAAAAGGGTATTGCAACGATGGCGTGAATACTTCGAGGGCATCTCAATCGCCCATCCCGCTATACCCTGTACCGCACCAACATATGGTCCCGTTCAGAAGATCACCGTACAGGAAACAGAAGCTGCTCTGAGGAAGATGAAGGCCGGCAAAGTTACAGGCCCCGACGACATAGCAGCTGATTTGTGGAAGTCACAACGCTGGTTTTCTGCGGGTTGGTTGACGAAACTCTTCAACCAGATCGTCGAAGAGAAGAAGGTGCCCAAGGACTGGCAGCAGAGCGTGACGATCCCGATTTGGAAGAAGGGCAGCCCGGCAGATTGCTCGAACTACCGTCCAATTCGCCTTCTCTCGCACACTATGAAAATCTTTGAGCGAATTGTTGACGCCCGCGTTCGTGATATCGTCCAGCTTTCCACCAATCAGTGTGGCTTCGTGGCGGGTTGTAGCACCGTCGACGCCATACATGCCGCTCGCCTATTGCTGGAGAAACACCGTGAGAAGCGAAAGCCCGTGCATGTAGCCTTCCTAGACCTGGAGAAGGCATTCGATCGTGTGCCGCGTGATGTTATATGGTACGCTTTGAGGCGGCACGGCGTGCCCGAAGAGCTAATTGAGTGGGTGCGCATCCTTTACTCATGCCCAGGGAGCCAAGTTCGCTCACCAGCGGGTGTCTCAATGGAGTTCCCCATCACCGTCGGGGTACATCAAGGCTCTGCGCTCTCCCCACTTCTTTTCGTTGCCGTCATGGATGCCATCTCACGAGATCTTCAGAAGGAAGTGCCTTGGACCCTGCTTTACGCTGATGATGTGATGCTTGCTTGTGAAGATAAGAGCGCACTGGAACAGCAGGTGCAAGCTTGGGCCGAGCGTCTGGCGAAGTTTGGACTCAGGTTGAACGTCAACAAAACCGAGTACCTGACAACCGACCCAAATGAGCCGGGCTCCATTAAGATCGATGACACGGTGCTCAAGCGCACGGAAACATTCAAGTATCTCGGATCAGCACTTGCGTCCGACGGCAGTCTGAACTCGGAAGTGAGCGCACGAGTGAGTGCGGCGTGGTCTAAGTGGCGATCCATGTCCGGGATCCTTTGCGACAAGAAAATGCCAGAGCGGTTCAAATCAAAGATCTATCGTACTGTCGTCCGACCTGTCGCGTTATATGGTGCCGAGTGCTGGCCCGCGACCAAAGAAGTTGAGGCTCGCCTTGGTGTGATGGAGATGAAGATGTTGCGCTGGACGGCGGGCGTCACGCGATCGGACCGCATCTGTAATGATGTCGTGCGCAAGAAGTATGGTGTAGCCCCCATAGCGGAGAAAATGCGTGAAACGCGCCTTCGATGGTACGGGCACGTACTTCGCGCAAAGGCTGATACCGTCCGGAAAACTGCTCTCGAACTCGAGGTACCAGGAAAGCGGCCAAAAGGGGACGTCCGGCACAGCGCTGGGGGGGCCCTTTTTTATCTCCGAAATAAAAAAACCACGTTGTTCATACGCGACTATGAAAAATTGGGCGCGGCATCCGACTGATCAGGGCATCCAATCGGAAAAGTGGCTTAGTTGTATCAAAAGAGCGGACCCGCGATCAAGCGGGACAAACGCTGAAGAAGAAGAAGAAGAAGAAGAAAAATGTTTATTTTCAGCTAGGCAGGACTGCAGCTGCACTACTGAGATTTTGTCAAATCTTCTTGCGCTCTTTTCCTCTCCTATTTTTATTGGGCTGTAGATGGCTCCCTCCTGATGGTTTTCGAAAACAGTCACTTTCTGTATTATGACTGCTTGT